TTTGTTTCATTAATCCTTTCTACTGTTTTTTTGGTCTCAATTTCATTTATTTCTGCTCTGATTTTTATTATTTCGCTCCTTCTGCTGACTTTGGGCTTTGTTTGTTCTTCTTTTTCTAGTTCTGTTAGGTGTAATTTGAGGTTGCCTATTTGGGCTTTTTCTTGTTTGTTAAGGTGGGCTTGTATCGCTATGAGTAAGAGATGAAACATTTTTGAAAACTGGGCTGGTACTTGAGCCTTAAGGCAAGTGTCAACGAATGTCACACTCAATATCATTCAGACAACATTCTCAGACCACAATGCAATTAGGTTAGAAATCACTAACATCAAATTAATTTTGTGTTTGGGGAAATGATAAATGGTGTAAGGAACTGTAAAATTTTCTGCACTCCCTCGAAATTCCCTCTTTGAGTCATGAATTCTGAAAAAAGGATGAGACAGATTGAGATGGGCCAAAGCGCAAACAGCTCCTTTCCGCAGCATTTCAACACCTGTGGACCAAAGCCCAGCAAACGTGCAACTGGTACTCGCTGCTTTTGTTTCCTTCCCCTATAAAGCTTCTCTCCCATAAGAAATTCCCCCATGCTCCGGGAGACACTGCACTGGGCTGTTCTCCTCATCGCAGCAGCCTGAATAAAGTACCCTTGTCCTTTGAGTCTTAGGAGAATTTTTGCAAGTTCGACAATGGACTTCTAAATAATTCTGAGTCTAAAGGGGGAAAAAGTTACAAATTAGCACTTGAAACTGAACACTAATGAAAGTAAAACAAATCAAAACTTGGATCTTTAGAAGAGAACTTTAGTCTTTATACTTATATAAGGAAACCAGGAAGGGTGATTACTCGATTTTTAAAAAATTGCATGAAATGCCCCACCACTGATGTCACAGACCCCTCAATTACTCCTTCCACAGATACTTGGTCCCTGGCGCTAAATCACCCCAGCTCCCCGAGCTCAGAAAGGTTAAACTCTCGCTGCGGGCGACTTCCGCTTCCTGGCCTAAATCTGACACGTACTATTCCCCCCGTGGCAACTACCCGGGGTCGGTGACAGCCGAGGAGCCGCGCGATGCCCTCAGCCGACGGGTGGACAGAGGCGCCGTCAGGTGGGCATGTAGCGGCGCCCCAGGCTCTGCCGCCGCGAGCCGCCCGCGCCAACTAGGGGCCGTCCGGCATCCCGAGAAGTGGAGCCGGGGCAGGGGCCCGGGCGGGGGCGGACCAATTTCTGGGCCCGCTGCTCAGAGGAGTCTTTCTAGCTAAGATGCGGCGCGCGGCGCGGGGGGGGGGCACGCCCTCTGCCGCGGGACAGGTGAGTGAGTGGTCGCGGGGGGGGGGGGGGGCCTTGCGACGCGTGCAGATGCCGCGGCTCCCTGGGGATACGGCCTGAGGGCGGGGCTCCTGAGCTGAGAGCAGGGAAAGCGCCCAGCCTGCGCCTGGGCGGTAACAGTGGAGAATGCGGCGGAGGCGGGAGACGTCCGGGTGGCACAGTCTGGCCCGATCGGCTACTGGGAAATCCCACAGGAGAAGACCGGGCAGGGGACCGCCAGCTCCTCGGCAGAAATGACCACCCTTCCAAGATGGCGACTCCCGTAGAGACACTCCCAAGGGGACAGCCATGTTAGTTGCTTGACAAAGTCACTAAAGAAAATTTGAAAGCACGCCTCTCCTCTGACACACACACACACACACACACAGACACACACACACACTAACACATCGTGACTGCACCCTGTGTAATTGTGGGCAGACGGCCGCTTCCAAGCCGACACTGGGCATGTGCAGTATGAACTTCAGAAACGAAAGAATCCTTCAGAGGCAGTTTCCAGACTTAGGGCTGCGAGACTGAGTTTAACAAAGGCGGCGATTTAGGGCCAGTAAAGCATTGACGTAGTTATGAGGGTGTTATGGCATGGATTTTGTACTCAGTGATGGTACTCTGTAGGGTGAGTGATGGCGCTTCTCTGGGGTCACTTAGGAGGAGGTGCATAGAGTTAGTGACAAGAGTTTGTGGGTGAGTGATGGGGTCAGTGGGGAAAGTAACAGGTACTCTGTGAGATGACTGATAGGGAAACGAGTGAGTGATGGGAGGTCTGTGGGTTAAATGGTGCAGAGACTGTGGGGTGAGGGATGGGGGAACTGTGGGGTGAGCACTGGGGGGGTCTATGGGGTCAGTGATGAGGATCCTTGGAGGTCACGAACGGGGTGTGTGGGGTAAGTGATTGGATCTGTAGCATAAGTGATGGAGGTCTGTGGGCTGAATGATGAGGGTTCTGTGGGGTGAGTCATAGGGGGTTAGTAGGGTAAGTGATGGGGGTCTGTAGAATGAATGAGGGAGGTTTGGTGGGGTGAGTGATGAGGGTCTTTGGGGAGAGTAATGGGTAGTCTGTAGAGTGAATGGTGGAGAGACTGTGGGGTGAGTCTTGGAGAGTCGATGAGTGAGTGAGGTGGAGTTTTTGAGGTGAGTGATGACAACCGTGGGGGGAGTGTTGCAGGACCTATGAGGTGTGTGATGGGGTTTATTGGAGGGATGGTCAAGGTGTCTGTAGTGTGAGTGATGGGGTTCTGTGGGGAGAGTGATGCATTTCTTTGGGACTACTGATGCAGGGGCCTTTGGAATCAGCTATGCTGCTTCATGGTGTCAGTGATAGGCGATCTTGAGGTCTGAGATGGAGTTGTTTCAAAAACCTACTTTTGACTTTGTTGGTCCTCTGGTATCTTTGTTTTCTGTGTCATTAATTTCTGCCTTTGATTTCATTACTTTTTATCTTTCGGTTTTTTCTTTTATTCTTATTTTTTAATTCCTAAATTGAATGCTTATCTCATTTAATATTCAATCATTTTCTTCTATAATATAAGCATTAAGTGCATGAATTTTTCTCTAAGAACACTTTAGCTCCATGTCATAAGTTTTGATATGTAGCATTTTCACTCGAGTTTACTTCTAATGTTTTCTAATTTCTGTTGTGGTTTTCTCTCTGACCCTTTAGTTATTTATATAAGAGATTTTGGTTTCCCAAAAAGTTGGAATTTTTGTTATTGATTTCTAAATTATAGTCAGAGACTGTCATCTGAGTGATTGTTAGATGTAGGAATGGATGTTCCTTAAAGTGGTTAGTATGTGTTGAACTTTAAGTTAAATTATTCTCCAAAACTTTTGTAAAATTGGAACTCCCACCAGCAACATATAAAAGGGCTCATTCCAAGATCCTCTCCCACACTGGATGTTGCTGCTTTTCAAATTTTCCCCATTCTGAGGGCCAAACACAATGGTATCTAGTTTACTTTGATGTGCATTTTCCTGACAGCTAGAGGTTGAACATCTTCTCATATTTATTGGCCATTGAAATGTGTTTTTTAAAATTTTCATATCCTTTGCTCTCTTTTTCTTTTAGCTGTTTTGTCATTCTTACTAATTTGTGAATATTAACCTTCTGTCATTTATTGTATTTTTTTCCTTTATCTCTCTTTATGTCTTGGTTTTTGAAAGGTGTCTTCACATATAATTAGAAAAAATAATCATCTGATTAGATATATCTGTCTTTTTCCTTTACAGGTTCTGAGTATCTTGTCTTGCCTAGTGAGTTCTCCCTACTTTGTGCTTAAACAAATATATACCTTAAATTTAATGTTTTTGTTGTTCTAATTTTTAAAGTTAAATTTTAATCCAACTGAAGTTTATTCTGATGTGTGGTATGAACTGAGATCAAAATTTGTATTTTCCATTCAGATAGAAAAATTGGCAGCACCAATAGTTAAATAATTACTCTTTTCTAACTCAATTAAATGCCACTTATGTCACATAAATTCCCAAATGTATATTGTTATATTTCTGAATTCTATTTTTCTTCTGATACATGTGTCTACTCCCTTTCAAAAAATTTCATTAGAAATACTTTTAATATCAAATATTGCTAGTCCCCTCACTGTTCTTTTTTTTTTTTTTTGGTTGTTTTCTTTAATATTCTTTAGCATTTATTCTTCTATATGAATGTTAAAACCATTTTATTTCATTTCAAAAATCACCATTATAACTATAATATTTTATAGTTTTCTTCTTATATATCCAGCACTTTTTTTTTTTTTGAGGAAGATTGGCCCTGAGCTAACATCTGTTGCCAATCTTCCTCCTTTTCCTTTTTCTCCCCAAAGCCCTGGTACATAGTTGTATATCCTAGTTGTAGGTCCTTCTAGTTCTTCTATGTGGGATGCCACCTCAGCATGGCTTGATGAGTGGTGAGTAGGTCCGCGCCTAGGATCCAAACTGGTGAACCCCGGGCCGCCGAAGCAGGATGCAGGAACTCAACCACTATGCCAACGGGCCAGCCCTTCCAGTGCCGTTTTAAAAAAAAAGTTCATTCTTAGATATTTTACATTTCTTTTTGTCATCATGGGTGAATAGCATATTTTTTCTATTTCCATAGAGAAAATCTATCAATTTTTGTAATTTTTTGTATTTTATTTCTTATCCAATCCAATTATCAAATTCTCATGTGAATTATAGTTGATTTTTATAGTGTCTTAGTTTTCTTACATATAATATCATATCACATCCAATTAACAATGATACTCTTTCTTTCAAATATTTATTCTGATTACCTCATCCTCTCCTATTGCATTAGCTAGATCTTTCAGAACAATGTTGAGTGATACTTGATAGAGGGTATCCCTATCTTGTTGCTAACTTGAAAGTGAAAAGTGTTCATTCATTCAGCAAACATTTATTGAATACCTTCCCCTTGCCAGATACTGGGTTTGAAATCCTGCTTGGCCACGTACTAGCTACATGATCTTTTTTTTTTCTAACAGTTTTATTGATATAATTCACCTACCACAAACTTCACTCATTTAAAGCTTGCAATTCAGTGGTTTTTGGTATATTCATTGAGTTGTGCAACCACCACCACAATCTAATTTTAGAACATTTCATCACCCCCAAAAGGAAACATGGTACTCATTCCTCATTCCCACCCCATACCCCCAGCTACAGGCAATCACTAATTTACTTTCTGTCTCTATAGATTTGCCTCTCCTAGATTTTTCATATAAATGGAATCATACAGTATGTGGTCTTTTGTGACTGGCTTCTTTCACTTAGCATAATCTTTTTAAGATTCATCCATGCTATATCATGTATCAGTACCTCATTCTTTTTTATTACTGAATAATATTCCCTTGTATGGATATACCATACCATACATAAATTTTGATTAGCTATTCATCAGCTGATGGACCTTTGGATTGTTTCCAGTTTTTGGCTGCTATGAATAATGCTGCTGTGAACATTTGTGTACAAGTTTTTGTGTGGACGTATGTTTTCATTTCTCTTGGGAGTGGAATTGCTAGATCATATGGTAACTCTATGTTTAACATTTTGAAGAACTGTCAAACTTTTTCAAAATGGTTATGCCATTTTATATCCCACCAGCAATGTATGAAGGTTCCAATTTATCACATCCTCCCCAACACTTGTTATTGTCTGTCTTTTTGATTCTAGCCATCCTACTGGGTGTGAAGTGGTATCTCATTGTGATTTTTTTTTTTCCCCCCAAAGCCCCAGTGGATAGTTGTGTGTCGTAGCTGCACATCCTTCTAGTTGCTGTATGTGGGACTCGGCCTCAGGATGAACGGAGAAGTGGTGCCTCGATGCACACCCGGGATCCGAACCCGGGCCACCAGCATCGCAGCGCGCGCACTTAACCACCAAGCCACAGGGCCGGCCCTCTCATTGTGATTTTGATTTCCATTTCCTTAATGACCACTGATGTTGAGCATCTTTTCATGTGTGCAATGGACTGAATGTTTATGTCCCCCCAAAATTCTTATGTTGAAACCCTAATCCCCAATGTCATGGTATTAGGACATGAGGCCTTTGGAAGGTGATTAGGTCATGAGGGTGGAGCCCTCATGAATGGGTTTAGAACCCTTATAAAAGAGGCCCTGGACAGCCAGCTTCTCCCTTTCACCATGTGAGGACACAGCAAGAAGATGGCCGTCTGTGAACCAGGAAGTGGGTTCTCACCAGACACCAAATCTGCTGGCACTTTGATCTTGGACTTCCCAGCCTCCAGAACTGAGAGAAATAGTTTGTTGTTTAAGCCACCCAGTC